TGAATCAACCAGAAGAAGACTCACTTCGTGAAGAACGATTTTTGCGGGGACCAAGAAATGGAATTAGAAGGCTCTCCATTCGCGAGACGTCTTCTTACGTATATCTCGGGCGTTCAATGAACATGGAGAACGATCTGAAAGAGGAAATAAACAGGAGGCAAAGAGCAGCTTGGGCCACCTTCAGGTCCCTAGAGGAAGCCACAGACCAGCTGACGGACCCAAAGCTCCGAGCCCATCTGTTCCATTCAACTGTTCTCCCTGCGCTCTGCTACGTAGCAGGGACGTGGCCTGACACTGTGGCTACGTCAAAAACCTGTGGCTACGTCAAAGACGTCCTCTGGAGTACAACCGACGCTCTCAACATCTAGTAGGACTTCGCAGTTCAGATATGAGATCAATGTCTCGTCTTCGCGACCCAGCGGAATACGTTTCTTAGGCAAAGCATCGATGGTCATACAATGAGAAGGACAGACGACAGATGGACACTGAGAACTCTGGAATGGATTCGAAGCAAAACGTCCTCGAGGGAAACCACCGACCAGATGGGCTGACGTGTTCGTTCCACGGATGGACCAGCTGAATTCTCAGGTGGTAACAAGTAATGAACCTGCTCGCGAAGCCGCCGCACTTCAATACCAACATCGTGGATGACGCTAGCGAGAGACAGAAACGGATGGAAACAGTGCTGTGGCCTGCACGACAGGTTAAGTAAGTAAGTTTACGGAAGAAATCTGTGAAGTGGAATACGCAGTCTATGTTAAAAAACCAAGTAAACAGCCTTTCGCCTCTTCAGTGCTGTTTTCTCGACACTAATACTTTGGTTCAACAGCAACGAGTTTATCACTATTAAACTCAAAAGATGAATTACAAAATCAGAGGGTAAATAGAATTGATTGCTCACTGATTATCTAACACTGGCAGGCTTTTAGAAAAGCATCCTGCTATGGAATGGGTTAAAACGCACACGGAAAATGAGTTGAGTCCATTTCCAATGATGTTAAGATCATACTTTTAACTGTCAGCCTTTTATATTAAAATACTTCTAATGAGGACCCGTATTTGTCTGGATTGAAAGAGATTTGAGCATCCACATGCGAAGAAATACGAACGTCGTTGTAAAATTTGCTTTTTTAACCCAGCGAAAATTGAACTGCACTTGGATCGTCGGGCCCTCTGCTTTTGTCCTTTTATTAGATAGTATCCTACTTCATCTAATCCTTTATATCAACGTTACATCGGTTACTTGTAAATCAGTAAAGAAAGCTTCACTAATCGATTAACATATTTGAACTTACTAAGTTCTGCCTTTTAATCAAGCTCCCCATACTTTTCTGGAAAGGGAGGAAACTTTGTTACAACTTCGGTGACTTCAAAACAATGCTACTTTCTGTGAAAAGGAGCCAAACTGGATTGTTATATCCCATGGAAGGGCCTGAGTCGCGCGATATTTTTTCTCTGTGAAAAATGTAACTGCATGCTGTAATTTTTAAGGTAGAAGGGGAATTCAGTTA